CTCCTTAGGAGCTACTTTGCCTCCAGATCTAAGTAGTTAGAACTAAAAGCAGAGAACAGACTGTTGCTTCCTTACAGTCTTTGCACATCTTCCCTTTCTTCAGAAAAATAAACCAAAAAACAACCTCACAAGTAGGAGCAAAGCCTTCTCACAAAACTAACAAGATACATTTTTCTTCAAAGGCTCAAAATTGTTCCCAAGATTGTGACAATAACTCATAGAAGTTGGTGAGGCAATGCCATTTGATGAGATGTTACCTGCTATTCTGCCATCCTGCTTAGAATTCATTAAAGAGGGGTCAATGAAAATGGAAAATCTTACAGCATTTAAGCAAGGATCTTTGATAAGAGTATAATTCTTAACTCCCTATGTTCTAATGCTTCTATGTAATGCTTCTATGCTTCTAAGTAATTTATTTCAAATACAGCAGTGTAATTAATATGTGTTAAGGGTAAGTTGGAGCAACAGACTATTCAAACCTATAAAGCAAACATTGTACCCCACCTGAGCTCCTAGCTCTAGCATTAAGCAGTGCAAATAATCTGCATTGGCTACGTAATGAGATTCTAAAATGCACACATATTTAAAAATCTCAATCATAACTCACATCTTATTTGGGCATTAGTCTATATGCTAGCTCTGACACTGATCTTAGGACATGAGACTTAGGTCACTCTTAGGTCACTCAGTCTGTTATCATATTTGTTTCCCACATCTAAAAGTGGATTATATTTCTCAGTCACCTCACAGGGATGTTATAAGACTGATTTTGCTCAAGTTTGCAAAGCTTTTTGCAATTCTTGGCTTACTGTCTGGAACTGGAGGGCAGTACACAAATGCAAAGTATTTCTACTATCCTAACAGCAGCTGGGGACAGATTTTTCACATGCCAGTTCTTATACTCTGGGACATGTGGCTGCTGAGTAAAGTGGTGATGGGGCACATTAAGGACAAGGCAGACAAAATGCAAGCAGTAAAACAAACAGTTACTCTAACTTTGCAGAAAAACAAAACTAAAACTCCCAGTAAAATCAGAGTCTTAGTAAACAAGAGAACAATATAAACCCTTCTCAGAAGGGTCTTTGACAAGCTGTTATATTGATAGCTTATTCTGGCAGCTGGCAACTGCAGAATATTAATGAAGCATTGGTAGGCACATGAGCACTTTGAACAGGTTGATTGCAACTGAAGTCTACAATGCATGGTATCAAGATACATTATTTGTTTGTAGCATTTGCTCTTAGTTTGACCTTGCTTGCTTGCTACTTTTTTCCTTTTTTCTTTCTCCTTTTTTTCCTTCTTTTCACATCTATCCTTTTCCCCTTCCTCCTCCTTCCTTCTTCTTCTTTCTCTCTTTTATTCACTAGTTCTCATATTCCTAATTAAGTTCAAATGTGATGAAAATTGCAATAAAAATGTTGCTTATCATATGTTATAAAAGTGTCCTCTTGTTTCTCTCCTACTATTTGGCAGCAGACGCATGCAGCTCCTATCACAGTAAACTGCATTCTTGTTCAGTGCTTGCATAGATGGGATTTATACAGGGAACTAGAAAGAGCTTAGGAGAAAATCCTTGTGCACATCTGACTCAGGACATGTAAAGGCTGAGGAATCTCTGTGTATTTGACAGCGAGAAGTGAGATTGATGGCTTCACTCAGGACCCACTCCAGTCACTATTCCCCTGCTGTTTCCCTGGGAGGGGGCAGGCCGTGTTCCTTGCCCACTGCTTGCCTATAAAGGCATAGGTACCAGCAATGCTCTCTTGATAGCTTTAAGCACATGACAGAATTCATATGACTGACTAAGAACACTGGTGGTGATCTTTATTTACTCAAGTTCTGTTTCTTTTTTTTTCTTATTTTGGTCTGGTACTGTGTCCTTCACGTGAACATCATCACACATGCTTGTTTTTAGGATTTCTGCCATATTTCTTTTTATTCTTCACAGCCCATAATAACCTATAGGAGTTTCTGAAAAGGCATTTTGATTATCACTGGTTCATTCCTCCATCTTTTGCTTCATCCTTTATCAACATTTGTGTCTACTAATGTAAAATCCTGGGTTTTTTTGGTTGCTGATGGATTTTGCACTTGTCATAATACTACCTATATTACTCAAATATTACTAGTTAGGTTTAGGTTAGAGCTGGGTATATTAATGGGTTAGACTTTTTTAGGAGGGATTCAGTTTCAGGAATTGCAGCAGGACATTAAATGCAGATTTTACAGGAGAATACCACTTTAGGTCCTGAGCATGTGTGAGATGTTGGATTTAATGTTTGTGAGAAAATGAACACTTATTTTCACCTTGGTACAAACATGTATTTGTTATTTTTTTCCTCTTCCCTTTTCATTGACTGGAGCTAATATTGGCCATGATGATCATAAAGGAATATCAGGGAAGCTATTCTTAGCTCTACTTTGTGGAATAAACAGGAGGTGTGAGATACTATGATCCAGGCTCTTCTTTGTGACAGCATGATGCCCACTGTAGGTTGGCAGGCAGGACCATGCAGTGGCCTTTGCACCAGCTTGCCTCTAGGCTAAGGCACAGGAGCAGCCAATGCCCCTTTGCTTGTCTCCTTAATGCTCCTGTAATTTACTGTGAAGTTCTTAAAGGGAGGAAAGCACTGAACTGTCAGAGCCTGTTCTTCTATCCTAAAGGGGTGGATATAGTGGGATCTCTCCAAACTATTAGTGACATTCAGGAAACTTCAGCATTCTTTTAGCTAATGTGGTGGCTGTGATTTTTCAAAGTGCTTTTGTATAATTTTTAGGAAAAGGAGTGCTTCCTCAGTAAATTGATAAGCCCTTTCCATTTTTATGAAGAGCAATGTGTTGATGTTGTTTGCCATCCCAAAAATTCATAATAGCGATAGAAGTGTTGTCATGTGAATATTAAATATGAAAACAAATATGCTCAAGCCTTTGAAGTGTAAGAAAACAATAGTTAACCTTTTTTCATTAAACAACCAAAAGTTTTCTCAGATGAGCAGAACAACCAGTTTTTCTGGGATAGATGGCAAACTCTTGTTCTTTACTTCCACTTAACTCAGAAATAGAGTTCTGCTTTTTTATGGCAAATTTGAGATTTTCTGCTCTTGAACAGGCAGTTGATCATTTTTATTTGTGCTCTAAGTTACAGTGGGCTTTCTGAGATGCTCTTTCTTCTAATGGATCTTTATTAGCAGAAAGAAAGTAGTGTTTAACAGTGTTCAAAAAGTTAAGTCTCAGCAACCAGAATTGTTTCTGTTTGTCCAACTTGTTCTAGTGACAGGCCCAGCTTTTCCTCTCTGAGCTTTCTCAGTGAACTAACATTAAACTGAGACTGGGATAAGCAGAAACAAAGTACATACCAGAGGTTCTTTCTGGACATGCATATAAATAGATTTATATGCTCTGTGTACAGATCAAGAGATATCTACTGCTGCCAGCAGGAAATCTCAGTTATATGGTGCAGAAGCCAAACTACCTGGGCTTTTAAAATTTTGCCTAAAAACCTGATGTTTTAGTCATTGATTTAGCTTTCCCCAGTGGTGTGCCAGCTATATGAGATTGTAGCTGATGTCTACAGTCAGCTTCAGTGAACTGGAGAATCAAAAGTACACTGGGTTTCTATCACAGGGCTAGCCTAGTAATAGGTAATCTTAAAAACAATATTTTGCTTGTTTTGTGGCATATATTGCATGCAGTGCTACATGGCATTTACCCTAAAAGTACTCCAGGCACTATCCCAAGAGATAAGTATAAGCTGACACAGTTGGGTTTTTTTTCGTTTTTGTTAAAGTAATCATCTCACTCCCACTGCTAATGCAGTTTACTGTGAGAAATTGGAATATGCTGTAAGTGGCACAGAAGACATCATGGAGAGGCTTGCTGGTAATCATAAGCATAACAGCAACCTACTCACTGTTATCATCAACAGTTTTGAATACTAGTATGGCAGGAGACCAATCAAGAGTAATAAGTTGCCTAAATGCCCAAGAAAGAAACGGGGAGGAAAGAAGAATTTGCAGTTCATACTGTATGTGTAGGTTGAAAAAAAAACTCCAGTTCAGTGTTTAATAATAACGGGATTTGTTAGTGGAAAAAATCTCAGAAATAAAAAACGGATTTTCACCACTACATATTTTCTAAAAAAGTTAATGCAGAATGTGAAAAAGTAAGGTTTTAGATATCAGGATGATGTTAGCAATATGAAATTTATTTCAGGCCTCAGAAGTTTTGTGTGGATTTGAGCTGCCTGAATGTGTTGGCTACACCTCTTAGAACCTCTGTAAACTATCATTCTGGTGGCAGCTCTTAAGATCAATTCAAAATCATAGAAGCACTGTGGAAAGCTTCCTGATGTCTTCTAATATGTGGAAACAGCAAAATTAATACCATCAAGCTCCACCTTGTTCCTGCAAGTTATATCAACATCAAAATATCAAAATCTTAAGAGTAAAAAGTGGAATTTTAATATTACGTATTTATTTTATGGATACAGAGGGAATTTTAAATCTCTGCTTAGATCTCTGCTTTTCAGATGTTCGCAATTTGTTCCTCTCTGTTGTTGATGATGATTTTGCTGTGGTACCAATAAATCTCACTAACACTTATTTATAGCATTTAGTTATAATTTAGGTGTAACTTTTTTCAAATTGTTTCTTTTCCACTCTGTAGATTGTAGAGCTACATAAATTAACCCACACAAACAAGTCCCTTTGCAATAAGTGACTAATTGCAAATACAACTTCGGTGACTGAGATGAGTGATTTTTAACAGTTGGCACATATTGACTAGGCCATTGGAAATATTCTTGCCACAAGTTTTTTTGCAAAACAGCTTTTGCTTCTAAAATCAGGTACTCTTGTTCTGTGGTCCCATGAAAGATGGCAATTGATCTTTTTCTCCAAGGCTTTTTTATGTTCCCTGCAGATGACTATTGAATAACATAGTTTGATATGGAAAAAATGAAAAAAAATTGACAATCCGTTTCTTTCCTTTTTTTTTTTCAGTCTAATTGGAGAAGAGACAGAGACCAAAAATGCCACCTGCAACAGGAGCGCCAGATTACCCACCTCCTGATGGAGGCTGGGGATGGGTTGTGGTCTTTGGGGCTTTTATCTCCATTGGATTTTCCTATGCCTTCCCCAAAGCCATCACAGTGTTCTTCAAAGAAATACAAGAGATCTTCCACACATCATATAGTGAGATAGCTTGGATATCATCAATAATGCTTGCTGTCATGTATGCAGGAGGTAAGACATTCCTGAAATTAGTAAATAACTTTGCTTGGTTGTTTTTTTCATGTGGGCTTAAAGCATTTTTTCCCTTTGGGCCTTTTCTTTGTTCCTCTACCTAAGATTCAAGTAATTTGAATACAAAAATATTTTGCAATCTTTCCCTAAATTCACAATTTTTAAGAGTATAACTTCCCAACAAATCATTGCCCAAATAATTTCTTCTGGGTCTAGGAGTAAATTTGGTCAGTTTCCACTGACTTGGTGAAATTTCTCAGTATACCCAATGATGAAGCTTAATCACAGAAAATTATTATGGCAACGAGGGTTCATTCATGAGGCACTGGTATTCCTCTGTAGACAAGGGTTTACATCTGGTCCTTAGTTGTCCTGAGAGTGATGTTTCAAACATGCCATATGTATGACAGCTAACAGGCAGACAATCTTATTCTTGGGATTGAACAGGGAACATAAATTCTCTGATACCTTTCTTCTTGCAAGCGAGCAAGTAAAGAACAAGACAGATGTAAAAGTATTTTAAAGTATAAAGCTATGTTTAAGAACTAAGTGTCAGATCTGCTTTGACAGGCTTTGTGTCTATCAACTCCAAAGACTAACTTGTTAAATTCTGCATGGTTTCTTCATTTTATCAGAATTTTTTTCTCCTTTAAGTATTGGTGAGTGCTAGCTGCTGTTTAGGCAAAACACTTAGACAGTTCAAAGGTGTGAATTATGTTAATTGAGGCAACAGATCTGGTATTTCCCTTTCTTTTAATGCTAAGAGATAACCACGTGGAGCATCTGACTATTTGCACTGATGAAGCAATTAAATACATACATTTACAAATGTGTGTTTATGTATATGTACATATGTGTGAATGTACAGACATAGAGACTGAAAACACTGTGCTGATAGCATACTGATACTGAAACTCTTTAATTGCTGAAGAGTGTTGCTCCAGTATTTTTCAGAAGTGGTGTTTGTGTAACAGTAAAGTACAGTGTTGTCAGGTGCAGCAAATGATCTATTGAAGGGTGAATAAAGTGTCATTTCCAGCATGGTAGTTTTTTTATCTCTTATTTCATTCTCCCTAAACTCTGACACATGAATGGCCCTACCTTACTTAGTAGTCAGGGAAGTAAGGAGCATGCCTACAAAGAGGATCAGGCTATCTGGATTGCTCTCTCCAACTACCTCTTATTCTCTGTCTGACTACAATCATGAAGCTGGTGCATTAGTTTTTTCACCTCAGTTGATGGGATGGAAAAATGGATCTTTTTTCAAATTCTGTCAGTCACAGAGACCTTATGAAGATGTCTTGACAAATGGTATCTGTATCAACAAAAGTATGCTATTGACATATTTTGATACTATTTTTATTCGTATACTAATGGTAAATTGTGAGTTCCTCACAAGCCGGTGGAGAAATTTAAAGGATTTTATAGAGCCAGCGACAATAGTCAAGTGAATTCACCAAAATTCACCAGGTGAAGAAATAACTTGAAGCATTCAAGAGTGGAGTGAAAGAGGGTATATCTCCTCACATTCAAGTCCCCTCTAATGGAGCACTTTCTTAAGGGTGCATCAGTACTTGCACTATGGATTGTACCTGTGTAACTGTGGAAACCTCTGAACAAGTGTTGAACCCATCTTCCCATCTGTATGGGAAGATAACAGGTGTTGAAAAGCTGGATAATTTTTCTGCTTTCTGTACGCTGTGACTTGCTGATCCTGAGCTCCTTTAACAATGTGAAGCAGGTTTGCTCTATGGTGCAGGTGCTGCTATGTTGTGTTCTCTGCGTAGCATTTCATTTATGCCATTTCTGTCAGGTCAAAGTTCACCCAGGGTCACCAGGACATTTCGCTGTGGTCATTTTTATCCGTGAGGTTCAATGTGCACAACTTTTCCCATTAAATACAAAAGATTAAGTATTTCTGCCTTTTCTCTAGTACTTCTTTGACTGTTCTAATTACCAGTTACTAACTGCGCTTCTATATTGACATTAAAAACTACAAAATTGTTTGCTATTCATTCTGCTGACACCTACCCCATTTACTACAAAGATTATCAGCACAGGAACAGTAAGCAGAGTTGTTTAGATATCTTGTTACAGACTCTTGGTTTTAAATTGCTGAGAGTGACGACCCTGCCTGATATAAACACTCTTTGAAGCCAAAGCTTCTCTAGGACCACTTCCTAATAACTGGGCCATTTAGACAATCACTGGCAGAATATGAAATAGCAACCCGGAAAAACATTTCTGAAGGAAATCACTTCATTGTTTTTAGTATCTAAAGGTGATTTGATTCTTCTTTCACATTTGATGTGCTGTAATGTGAAATACACGTTCAGGCCACAAGTGCAAGGTGCGTTGTTTACTAGGAAGTGTGATATGTGCACCTGCAATGAACACTGTTCATCATGCTACTAATGAAGGTAACCTGAAAACATCTACGATCTGTCATCCTCATTACAGCTTAACATTCAACCTATTAATCATCACAGTGGGGTCAGTGAATAAGTTAGACTCCGTGCAGACACTTTTTGCTTTGGAGGCTGCAGCCTCTTGCAGTAATTAGCTGGCATCTGTGTTTCTGCAACAAGGTATTAACTTACCTTTCAATGCCTCAGTAAAAAGCTCCAGTAAGGAGCTAAAAGAATGTTAATTATATTTATCACTTACTTCATACTTAGAATAAATGGCATTAAATTATAGCAGACCATCTGGCAATCCATATGGTCTCCTGCAGTCCTGGTTAATTCCAGCAAATAGGTCAAGCACAGCATTCACCCTGTTAGGAAAGCACCAGGCAGAGGTGACAAATCTGATAAATCAAATCAATATGAAACTAATTTTCTCTCTCAATCTGGCACAATATGCAGTTTCTTACTATTTTCTGTTGTGTTTTGGGGGTTGGTTTGTTTGTTTTCTTAAGCTCTCTCTTCCTTCTTCCCTCACCCCCCCAACCTTTTGATGTCTGTTAGAGTTTACTAAAAAGGCATCCCAAAAAGCAAGATCCAGTGATGTGATTAAGGTTACAAGTATTGCACATGCTCTACCGTTCAGGCCATGCTTGATAAAAGCATCCTCTGGAGAAGAGCAGTCGTTCAGTCTCCATGGTAACTCCTTCTTCTGCCTCTCTTGAGCAGAGACTGTCAATTGCATTAAATTAAGGGTGATGGTTTTGTGATGGATTCCTACACCCAAGGGACTGAGATTGGGACCACCAGACTTTTGTTACTGGAGGACAGAAGCTGGGATAAAATGGAATTAGTTGAGTTATCCTGACAGCACAATCTGTGTTCCTGCATGTGTATGAACAGATATGTGTATAAAATGCATATGCATGTATGTATTCCTATGTATATAAAATATATATGTATCCATACACTTACAGAGTAATATGTCTGCTCCAACACACAGAGAAATTAAGGAATTAAAGAAAAAGGTCAAATACATTTGACCTCAAGTTCTCTTAGTTCATTCTTCTCTTTTTCAAAACTTTACCTCTCACTTTGTGCAGCGTTATCAGCCAAAGGTGATTAAGGAGCTTCTTATCAGAGCTCGATCTGTTTCCAGTAAAAATGTTTTCATTGCTTTCAGTGTGGGTTTGATAGGAGCCACAGTGGCAGCTATGAAAGCCATGTGACAGGTCTGGTGATTTCAGACAGAACTGACCTTGAGTTTTAGATTTCCTCAGGGAAAAAGCAGTTTGTTCACTTGCTGGTCCTACTCTTTTTCTATCATTTTTCCAAGGACAGTTTCAGTTTGCAGTTTTTGTTTCTTTTGTTTCTTTTGTTTGTTTGTTTGTTTGTTTGTTTTCTCAAAAAGTACTTTTTGGGTGTAACATTGGGTTGTGAAGATTAACTTGAGCTGGTAAATCCTTCAAGCCATACCCAGCTGTGAAATGTGGGGCAGTCTTGCTGGTCTGAAGTTCAGAAAACATAAAAGTTTCATTTAAATTCTGGATAATGTTTCTGAGTAAATAGTTGAAAATACATTTTTAGACTGCTTTGGAATAAAGATGCTATATAAGTGTATGGAGTGGCCATTATAATTTTTCAAAACACACTTATTCTTTAAAAATGTAGCACTTAATATCTTCCTTTCTCTTCAGTATTGCATAAGTTATTCAAGTCTGAAGTTAAGTGTTTCCAAACAATAACATACCCTTGAAGGATTTTTCATCTGACAACACAAAAGTAACCTATAGACAAGTCCTCATTTTGACTTTCTCTATTATTAATTTGGAAAATAACGTATCATATGGTATGTTCAAAATATTTGTGATTTTATCTCAGTGGGTGTTTTGGTGATATTGCTGTGAAGATGAAATGGCGTGCATGGTGGAGATGACAGTTGTGAAATCCATGTAACACAAACAACAGATGGTTATGGATTTTTACTTTTGGGCAGAACCTGGGTTCCTACACTTTTCTTCCTTCCTGATAACATTTTCTAATTTTGGTTTTACAAATACAGGCACAAGGAATTCAGTGGCCATCAATATGGAGATTGAGAAGCTTTCTTGAATTGACCTATCTCCTTTGTTGTCAGGGGCAAGTGTTTTTCCCCATCAGAATATGCAAAGTGTTGCATTTTAATAACCTCATTTAGAGTGCCCTTGAAAGCAGAACTTACTTACTTTCTGAGTTCCTCATGGGCATAAGGGAATACTTCACATTTAGCCTGAGATATATGAAAAGCATCTATGTGAAGTTAATTTGAGACTCACAGATAAAAGAAAAGGAGTCGTAATGAGGTTTCACAAGAACAGAGCATTTTGACTCTTACTAGCAAATGGAGATAAGAGTAACAAAATATTATAAATATACATTAGTTCAGTTCTTAAAAAAACAAGACCTGAATGCTAAAGCCTGTGAAGGGTAGTACAGCCAGGTCTTGTATTTCTTGCAAGGCTTTGAGTTTTAGTAAAACTGGACATTGTAGGGTAGCGTTCTGCAGAAGGAATGTATGTTTTAAACCGAGATGTCTTCCTAGATGTTTAGAAAACA